AGTCTCTCACATACGAAGGTAGCTCCTGGACAAGTGGCTGGAGGAAGAAGTCTATATAACTAGCAATATTGCAACTTAAGCTACCCAGGCCCGCAATAATAGGCCTTCCTGGGGGTTGCAGGGGATCTTTATGAATTTTAGGGATCTGGTAAAAATAGGGCACACATGGATGGGGCACAGATAAAAATTGAAATTCAGATTTGTTGAGAACCTTAAGATCTAATGCTTCTTTTAGAAAATGAATACATTCGTTCTTAAATTCTGCAGTAGGATCTTCCTTAAGTTTAGCATAAGTGGTGGTATCAGAAAGCAATCTGTGAGCCTCAGCTATGTAGTCGCTCCTATTTAAGATTATTATACCACCCCCTTTATCTGTTTTATCTGATCTGTTTATGCCTGTTACCTATCTCCCTTTGTGAGTAATTTTCCAACTTTTTTCATTTTCTTTTATTCAAAAGTGTTATACGATGGAGGCGCTCTCTGTGTTTTGTATTTGGGTATAGACATGTCAAACCCCATCCTGATCTTTGAAGATAACCAGGGATGTATAAAGCTGACACAATCAGAAAGGGTCAACCCTAGAACCAAGCATATCGACATGAAATATCATCTGTTAAGGGACACTCAGAAGCAAGCTATTATCGACATTCGATATTACTCATCAGAAGAAATGACTGCGGACGCACCCACCAAGCCATTGCTAAAGTATTGTCACAGTTTTCTTCGAGAGAAGCTAAACGTCATGAGCTGTTTTGAATTGATGTTGGAAATGCAACAGCATATTCTAATGTACTGATATGTAATTTGTCTCTTGAGTGGTAGATGGCACTGTGGTGCAAAGGTAGTGCCTATGTTCATGCTTATCTATGATACACAGGAAGTTTTATGTTTTTCTCCACAATACTATATACATACATGTAATGTTCTTCTAAGCAAGTAAAACTTAATTCAGCATTCCTCAAGATCTCAGTGCTTCATCTAAACACATAACCGACAGCCTGCTTACATAATAATATTGGTGATTTTTGAAAGTAGGTATGAGCTTTGGGTTTGGGACAACCATGGGTTCGACCTGAATTTGCAGTACTCGAGGTTCGCCAACTGGACGAAAACCACGAAACCAACCACCTGAAGCCATGCTTGGGGTGGATACAAGACCAAGCTTGATATTCATGTAATAGCCTGGAAAAAAAAGCTATTCCCTTATTGAAGTCCCCCAACAGAGCATATGCTATAAACAGCCCAACAGATGTTTAAACTGCATGCGTCCAGTAAAAAGATGCACTAACAACGTCCTGTTCAGGTGGCCAGAAATATGCTGCTGTTTCCACCTGCCTGTTGTTGGCAGCTGCGAAGAGATCCACCTCCAGACAGCCCCATAAGCCGGTGATCCAGGCAAACGTTCTTGCATTCAGAGACCATTCGGACCTGTGAAGCTCCGTTCGGCTGAGTGAATCTGCCAGTTCGTTCAGGCTGCCTTTGATATGTCTCGCCGTCAGGGATAAGAGGTTGCGTTCTGCCCATGACAGAATCTCTGTCGCCAATGCCATCAGCCCCTGCGAGCGCGTACTTCCGTTGTCACTACCAACGGCGCAGGCTGGCACCACAGCCTGCCCTCTGAGAGGTATTGACCGTCCATCCACCACAGGAGGGACTGCTTGGCCTCCTCCGTGATGTGGACCACTTTGTCTAGGTCTTGCTGTCGACTTCCCCAGGCCCTCAAGAGCCAATTTTGCAAAGTTCTCGAATGGAACTGCGCCCAGGTAACCGCTGGGATAGCGGACGTCATAAGCCCCACCACTCTCATCACTGACCTGACTGATACTGCACCCTGCAGTCTCAGCCTCAGTGTTTCCTCCACCAGTAGTGACACCTTTTCCCCTGGTAGAGTAATGGTCATTTCCTGGGAATTGATCCAATATCCCAAGAACTTTACCGTCTGTGCGGGAACTAGTTGTGACTTTTCCCTGTTCACTAGCCAACCCAGACTCTCCAAGTGTTGGATCGTTAATTCCAGCTTTTGCTGGAGAACAATTGCTGATGGGGCAAAAAACAAGAGGTCGTCCAAATAAGGGATGACCCCTACCCCCCGAGACCTCAGGGGGGCCAGCGTCTCTGCCAACAACTACTACCAGCCAGTAAGTGTCTCCACTGCACCCACATTAGAGCCTACACCCTACATGCCACCAAGAGGGGGTGCCGTACACCGCTCAGGGTACACCCTTGGCCAACCACTGCACACCGGGGGGGTCACCATCTGGAGCCACTCACGTACAGGAGGATGGTTGCCCTCCCTGAATGACGGAGGGGAACCTAGGCCTAGTCTCGGGTGGGGGTCCGACAAGGGATCCCTGTATGCGCTGCAGCAGGAAATCCTGGAGTAGGTCCCAACGCATATCAGGGTTAGGCTCTGCCCTGAGGCAAATAGAAAAACAAGCCCTGAAAACAACAAACATTACGATGTTAACCTGTGTAGCCGGAGGAAACACAAAAAAAAAAATGAATTGGGATGGAAGGAGGGGTCTATTTATTTAAATGTGGTTGATGCGTTTCCTGTTGCAGGCAGGCAGAGCCTTATCTCATGGGCTGTCCTGGAAGATGACTGGGGAAATTGTACATTAAAACAGAGATGTACAAATCCCAGGAGCTCCGTGTGCTCCTTACAAATGACAGCTACCTCCTAACTTTTGAATTTTTCTCTAGTCTAGTCTTGGAGATCAAAAGTATCGGTACATGTACTCATACTTGTACCGAGTACTGTACTTGGTATCTGTGCAACCCTAATGAGAAGCTATTCCTTGATAGTTCCATGACATCCAGTTCATCAACTTTCTTAAATCCTACCAGGATCATGCCATCCACTTGTTTGGTCTACATCTGTTTCTGCAGAGAATACAAAACAGGGCTTCATCCTGTTAATGACTGGGGAATTCTCAGGTAACTGTGTAATTAGTTGTTTTGATATATTGCCCACACCCGGCTTCTTTCCTGCGATTCTCGTACGTGAATCGTACAGTGTATGGGCACCTTTACAGCAGCCAAGGCCCAATTTAAAGGAAAGTCAGAGCTGACTTCCACCATGCTATATACAACCCCACCCTCTCTGTCTCCAGGAGTCCATTTGTTTATCCCTCATTACCAAATCGCCACCACGAGTTGATTAAGACTGTTGGTTGCTTCGCTTACATTATAATGGTATAGCTCTTTTTGGTCTTACATGCAGCCCCCCCCCCTCCCCAGCATGTAAGTTATGCCCCCTGGCACAGTAGGTCAAAAACTAATAAGTTATCCTTTAACATTTATTTGTTGCAATTGCTGCCTATCATTTTTAAACAGTTTAGTCTGCATGGTGTTTACATTTACATTTTTTCTTGCTTCCTTCTGCAGTTTGAATGCATACTCAATGGATGATAGTCTTCTTCTCCCCAATGTCATTATACGTTATATGTTTGTTACAAAGTTAGTCCGGTTGAAAAAAGACAAGTCCATCAAGTTCTACCTATAGAGATGGGAGGAGAAAAAAAAAAACCAGAATGCTCCATAAAGCATGGTTCAATTTGCTCCAACAGGGGGAAAAAATATTTCCTAATCCCATAAGGCAATTGGATATTCCCTGGATCAACAATCTCTGGTGCTTAATATACTTATAAGAACTAAATATCCAGTAAAATTCTTTGCATTTAGGAATACATACAGATTTTTTTATAAAACAGCTAATTGAGCTAGCTAGAACTAGCTCCTGGGGGAGTCTATTCCACATTTTCACACCTCTAGCTGTGAAGAATCCTTTCCGTATGCAAAGGTTAAACCTCTTTTCCTCCAGACACAAAGAGTGCCCCCTTGTCCTTTGCAGTGAATAATTTGACACCAAGCTCACTATATGGGCCATTTTGTAGAAATATTAAACTGTTAAAGGGTTATTAAACCCTAATTTGTTTTTGCATTAATCTACTGCTAGCAAGCAATCGATATATGCAAACTGATTTTTAAAAAAACTTTTCAAATAGGTTTAAACTTACCTGTGTCTCTGCCCCGCGCTCCCCTCTGAACATCTGAAAATTTCTCGGGCAGAATGGATCTTGGGGCGGGCGCATGCGCAGTTCAGATGTTTGGCCCGGGAGACGAGGAGAGACACAAGGTAAGTCTATGGAGCAGCGTGCAACGGCACAGACTCCGTGGGACATCAGAGAAGAGGAGGACAGAGTAGTCAGCGTAGGATCAGAGACCCGCACCCAGCACTGGAGGGACAGCAGAAACACTGAGGAGGGCAATTATGCATGGGTTTAGTGTTGTATTCTTTAAAAAAATAAAAATACATATCTTTCTTAGTTTAAACAGAACACTCAAGTTCTAAAACATTTATGCAGATGCTCTTTTATCAAAATAACATAAAATAACAATTTTACCTTCCCTACAAATTCCTGTATTTCTTACATTCCCCTTCCACATGATTAGATGTGTAAAGTCAACACAGGTTCCCTTTGTCTCACTCTTTAGTGAAAGTGGCCCACAGACTCAAGGTCAAACCCTGGAGAAAAGTAGGCACACAGAGATTACCATTGCTGATTAGTTCCTATAAAAGCTCTTGGCTGACCTGACAGTAGCAAGATAACGGGAATGTGACTACATACTCTCCAAGCTCCCATAGCAACAGCAGCAGCAGCCTGGGTAACTAGGGTACACATCCCGAGAGGCACCCCGGAAGTAAAAGTTATTGACCCTTGGTTCTTAGTGCGCAATGTCAGCCAATTTCACTGAGCTCTGCTCCTACTGTTTTTTTCCCCTCTTGTAAATTCAATAATCTGTGACAGCGGCCACTAGAAGCAGCAGATACGCCCGGCCAACAGAGAGCAGGTGAACTGCAGCCAATCAGAGCGGGACACGCTTCCAGCTCTGTACGCCGTACATGGAAGACACCCATTGGCCAGCGGTGACAGGGACGCAAGCCGCGAGGAAGGCACTGATTGGTGGCTTGGTGTGCGTGGTTAGCCACTATTGGCGGGTGTTCGGTGTCCGCCCGGTGCCTGTCAGGGGCAGATATTAAAGCCTAGGAGGCGGCGCACAGCTGCAGTTGTCTGTGGAAAACGAGGACCGTAGAGACAGGAGTGTGCGGGCCTCGTGTGTGGTCACCATGAGGAAGTTGTGGGCTATTGGCCTGTGCTTCGTTCTGCTAGCCTTTGGTGAGTGCCCGCGGGGGGGAGGTGGAGCGGCTGGGGGCTCCTTCCACATACCATCATCCTTCACAGTATTCTAGAAGCTTCCTGACCGGAATCCTTCAGTAGGCGGGAAGAGGGAGTAGGTTCTTTAGAACTTTCTTGTGTCTTCCGCAG